TACTATGGCTAAAATTTACCACCAACCAGTATGAATGAGTATCTATTGCATTGCAAATCACCAAGCTCACAAGCATCTCAGTCTCAATGTACACCACGTTTCTCCAAGGTCCAATATACTGAATTTCTCAAATGAACGCTAACAAAGGATGCCGTGTCTAGCTAACCGCAAGAAGCTCATATATTGGGCGTGACTATTTTTTGGAATAACTGAACAGATAACGGTTGCTGAATACATAATGAGTTAACAGGTACTTTATGAATAAGAGATCGATCTATTCAGCAAAGGAAATCCCACTCAGGTATGGGCGTGAAATATCTAGTCTACACTGCGAAAAAAGGCCTAAGCCCGCCATTATCACGGAAGTCGTCGCCTGAACAAAGACCACAATTATCTTGGGCCGGCTTTTTCACTAGTTGTCTATCCTTTTAAGAACCTTTGTGCATGATTACATGCACATTTTAAAGAACACTGACTGGTGGTTACATTTAGGCGGTAGATAACTTTAATACCACTTAAACAGACTACTGATTACGAGCACTTCACTTGTGTCCTAGTACAAATTCCCATCCGACTGAATTTTTTTTTCAAACGCATTAGGGCTTGACCCAATTAACGTGTTCAAGTGTACAACATTCTCAAAGATTGAAGTACGGCCAACCCGAAAATGCAGAGGTTGAGCGGGCAGCCTGTTCATACATCACCGAATTTAGCAGTTTTAACTCTATTTGAACTTGGATGATAATGTATGTGTTAATGATTTCATGTAGAATCATTTAAACTACCGTAGGAGGGGGAAATCTAGTATATGCCCTGATCCATTGCGGTACTGACGCGCTTGAAGAACTCATGGAATTACTTGAAATCTAGCGTTAGTGGAAATTAATATACATTGCACACGTGCGCAAGTCGCAGATAAATATCACTGTAATACTGCAATTACCTTAATCCGGCGTGAGTGAAATAATGGTATATTATATCCCTCTTGGCTCTCTGAGTTTTTATATATTTACCGTCCGGTCAGTTCAACCTTCTGTGCTGGTCCCAGATCAGCGTAAGCTGCTAAACACCAGCGGCCTACATTTTAAGCGTTTGATATAGGCTCCAAGCCAAAATTTATCGAACCTCAGCGTTGGCAAAGCCACATATGTTGTTCAGAAACTGTCTGCTTCAGCAGGTGGCAAAGGCTGGTACTTAGCGCCCACGTGCGCTTTTCAGCGGTTACCTGTGAAGTGTATGTTTAACCCTACTTGATTGTTGCCAGCAAACTATTGAAGGTTTTCTTTGTTTATACTAAGATTTACTTAATTAAAATGTCTGTTATTCAGCTGCTGTTTTTAAATGTAACCAGGGTTAAAGATAATTTTAGGAAGGATTACCTGGCTGAATCCCCGTTAAATTATCTGAATTAACGCCCTAGGACGTTCACAAGCATCCAGACTTTCGTTGTTTTTCGACAATATATATATCGTAAGAAAAAAAAACACTTCTGTCAGAAAAGGCAATTTTAGCCCAAACAAGTTGGGGTGGGGAGTTTTTAAAATCAATATTTGGATTCTTTAAAATGGAAAGATACCCGAAAAAATGAACAAAAAGTTGAAAAAGCTTCAATTGTATGCCATTGCTGCTCATTAGAGAAAACAAATTTTGAAGGTTTAATTTAAAACGCTTGCCATGGCAACCAGCCCACCCTTTTGAGGTGCTGTTTGATGGCATTAACGCCAACAGTTGTTGCTCTTTTACAAAACATGTACAAGATTTGACTTTCCGCATATCCTGCGGTGAATTTCTGTTTCGTCCTATATAATACAAAATAGAGAGCTTTGACAATAAGCTCTCGTTTTCGGTACTCTTACAGGCTTTTTTGATATTTCCTTATTTTGCACCACACCCAGTGCGCGCTCCCAGTGTCGTATTTAAATGTAGTCATCATTAACACCCTAAAAACCTAGGAAGAGCATTAACATGGACAATGTCTCAGTCCGAATTTTTCTCTGGCTACGGCCCCGATCTAGCGCATGGAGGGCAATTCCGAAAAATCGTTCCAAAATGTTATTTTAAAAAGTTCAGGTGTTTAAAATCTTATATTTTCAGAAAACGTGACTTATGGTTTTCATTAACATCGCCACATTTTTTAGGGGTTTTTTAACACCTTAAGCTCTTTGGGGGTGGCAAAAGTTGAAGTTATTTGGCACTACAAAATAACACATTTTAACTTTGTTAGGGAGCTAGTGTTTTTACTTGAAGAATAAGACGCAACTTACAAACCAGATATGTTCTAATACGGTGAGTATTTGACATTTAATATTGTAAATATCACAAAGGTTGGAGTCTCGTGGTTACCATGGTTACACTGCCAAGCATTGGACTTTAGGTCCCAGTCAATCTGGCATCGGTGGCGTGAAAAAGAGAGAGAAAATCACGAACAGAAATTTTAAAATGTAAGGAAATTTGCTGAGAAGGAGTATTCAATGTTTGGTCTTTATATGAAAAGAGCAACTGTTAAAATAAAGTTTCAAAATTATGCAAAAATGAGACGGGTTAACAAAGGGAAGTGTACACGTTTGTGATTATCTCTATGTGGTCATTTTTTCCTTCAGGTCTCTTTACGCAATCTTAGCAAATGACGACCTTCAGGGTGAAATCCAATATCGCCTGAAGTGCTTTCGGCAAGCTCCCGCGTACGCGAATATTCGAGGACCGTGATGTTCGTACGGAAACAAAGCTCCTGATGAATAAGGCAGTCGTTATCCCAACGCTTCTCTATGCATCTAAGACCCGGACCCATATCGTCACCATCTAGTTCCATCAAAGCTGTCTCCGGAAGATCCTCAACGTCAGCTTGGAAGACAGAAGAGCCAACGTCAGCGTATTACAAAAGGAGAAAGCAACTAGCATCGAAGCCGGCATCATCAAGAATCAACTCCAGTGGAGCAACCATGTAATACAAATGCCAGACCATCGTCTTCCTAAGCTAATATTATACTCGAACTGGTAGAAGGCAAGCGTTCAAGAGGGGGCCAGAAGAAGCGCTTCAAAGATGTGTTGAAAGCGAACCTCAACTGAAGTGCAGCATCAATGTCACTCTTTGGGACGGAGGAGACAGCAAAGGACAGGCCTCTCAGGAGAACCACAATCAGCGAAGGAACTGCAACTTTCGAAGCGAGAAGATTTCAGGAGTTGGAGGAAAAACGAAGGCGTAGGAAAGAGCGCCAACAACAACCACGGCCTGCTCTCTCCCGCGGTACCAGTTGTCCACAATTCGGCCAGGTCTTTCGGGAAAAAATTGGACTCATAAGCCATCAGCAGACACACTGCTGATCAGTATGAGGACTATCATCCTCAACCTAAACGAGGGATAGCCACGACGACGACGTTCAAATGCAGAAGGAATGACCAGAGAAGAGCTTTTCGACAGAAAAATGGAGGTGTTTGTAGGTCAAATTTCAAATCCTAATCGTTTGGTTCCTTAGCCTGCGAACGCAGCACGCATTTCCGGCTGTCACTTGGTTCCGCCGAAAACTTACGTCTGCGAACCCGAGCCAGGAAACGATTTCTGTGACGTAATGACTTTTGTTTCTCCTTGGCCAATCA